GCAATAGGCAGAAACAAAAAGGCCAAGCAAAATAATCCAATCAACCCCAACCTGAGGCCTGTGAGCTCCAGCATCAATGCACTGAAATAATTCAAGTTTTAATGGTGGTAAAAAGGACATATCTAAGATGTTTTAAAATTAATTTACTTCTATATGCAGTAGCTTAAAAAGTGAAACAGACAATGAAAAATTAAATATCCGAGCTCATAAAATTTCATGGTTATAAAATCCTTTCTTGGTCCTAAAGCACATTTAATCTTTCAACATTGGTTACTAAAGGTTTTAGGGAACATTTCATTCTGTTAGGTAGTCTGCAGGTGGAGCACAGAAACTGGGTGGGGTGATCATAAGCAATGCTTGTATTCAGAAAAATAACTTATTTCTCTCTAATAGTGCCGTGTACAGACGAAATTTAATGAGAATTCATCAAGGATAATGTATTTGGACAGAAACAGTTGTCCACACTTCGATATGGCAAAAATTATCGCATCTTTCACTATAGAAAGTCAGCTGATCACTGATACAAGTTACTCTAAAACAGAACGAGACTGTCGCAAGTGGAAAAAACTTGCTCCGACTCCCAAATAGCTTCTCCGAGGAACAAAAATTGTTAACGAAAGCAAATATAGATCAAAGTAATTTCAACGATCTCTCTCTGTTCATGAATGTCGAAAATCAAGCCTTCTCATTTTTTAACTCCTTCACTTCAGAAATAAAAGGCTTACGACCCTTTCTGATGCTAATAGGAAAGTATGTGTTAATGGAAAAGCACTAGTTTAGGAAAAAAATGATGAAAGACTCAAGCTCAGAACGGGAATGGGAAAACAGGTAGGGAATCCACGAAGAAATTTTCTCTAGAGCATCTCGTGGAACGAAAGGAATGGTACAACACACTTTGATCGCCAAATTACTGAGTAGCATTTTATTCTTTTTCCCCAAAATCCATCTCTCATCGTGTATTGATATGATAGCAGATGTATGATCAAGACTAATTAGAAAAATGAAAAATATAACAGGTCCATTTCCTTCTCAAAGTCTTTGACTTTGAGCTTATTATAGCAGGTTGAGGAGGTTCGAGATTGACGAAGCTAAATTGTGTTCACTCATAGCAGCTAAAACCAACAGAGTTTTTGCAATAAACGTCAATCTCTTATTCTCAAAGATCCAGTGTTTTTTAAAAAGGAAACATGTTAATCATGATTATAGAAGTAATAAACATACCATTGACAAGAAAAAAGAAACTATAGATATTGCATACTAGTACCTTTGTTCTTTAGAAGGCAGATTATGAGAAAAGGAAGATACAATATTCCAGTTCTTGATGGATTCAACAGAAACTGCCCAGATGATGTATGCAGTAAAGAGTATGATTCCAATTAACTCTGCGGCTGAAACAACACCAAATGGTCCATCAACGAGAACAGGGAATGTCCACAAACGGAAACGTGGATATCTTGAAGTTTTCGTCCTGTCACAAAATTTCAGACTATGAGTGATGTAAAGACCTAATAAGCATGTTTGTGCTGAGAATATGATGGCAATAGTGAGAACAACCAAATACATTATGACAAATCACATACTCATGAATTTCCTCTTTCCCAGAGATGATGAGATAAGCAGTGGCCAAAAACGCAATGAGGAGGATAGGGCCACTGAAAAGCAGAAATATGCTTCCTGCAGCAACATGGTATTTAGAGAAACACGTATCCTGCAATCAATTAGCGAAGTGTTCAAGGATGAACTTGGAGTTTCCAGCTAACCTGCTTCGCCGAATAGAGTTCCATTGGTAGCTCGACTCCACTTCTCATACAAATGAGTACCGTAATCAGATGGATACAGAAAGATAAAAGCAGCCCAGGCAGAGAAAATTATCCACATCGCCACTCCGAGAATCCATTTTGCTAATGAAACCCACAAAGATTTCTTTTTGGCACCCTCCTCTTTCAAAATAAGTGGTTCGTAGCCTGAATTCTCATCCATTAGGCCAAAACAAGAAACCCACAGAAATTCAGTAATAAGGATCAAGTTTTTCAACGTCTAAGTGTAGTTTAGATTCCATACAAGCCATGAATATATAAATATACAAGGGTTCAGAAAAACACAAATCAATCAACATTGATCAGGTACATTCGAATTAAATTAAAAATTTTGGAGAAAGTTAAGCCACATAAAAGGTGACAAATAATATCAACCATTATTAGTACAAATTTTTAAAGTGATATGACTTCTCAACGCTCATGATTAACAATTCTA